GGACTGTTCAGGACAGTGTTGAATGGAGAATGCTTGTGAGTATGCTGTGCTCATAGATGAGGGGTAATGGGAGCAAGTAACAAAGTATGAAGTACATCTTATTTTCGCTGGAAAATCCTACGAACAATCTAGTCAAATGCCTAAGTACACATGCATCTTAATAATAAAAAAAGTTTCTACAGATTTTGTTTTCTAAATATAATTAAAGTTAAAATTTATCAATAATTCTTGAGTTGCACAAGTTAATAGTCGTTGTCTTTCGATCACCGATACATTCACAAGAATTTATCTATCAGCAAATACAATATTTAAACAACAATAACTTGGGCTAATTTATCTAATAGAGAAAATGGTTATGAGCACTGCATCAAACATTACTCATAATGAGTAATTACTTATTTTCTGTTCCTATTATGTCTGATACCTTTTATGGAGGAACAAAGCACAGCCACAAGCACGATCCGTCGAACTTTGTCAACAACATTCCTTTCCAGTTGCTATTCATCCTTCTATTTTCTGCTTCCGATTCTTGACACAATGCGTTGATGGTTTTCTCGCTTTTCCATTCCCCTTCACGATTACAAGTTGGTGCTTGTTTCGTGATGCAGTCTGATTTCCACAATCCATGTCCTATCCACTTCCATCATATCTTCCTAATTTACTCTTCATCTGGTAGTTGGTTTCTTCTCTCACACAATAGGTTGTTACTGATGGTATGTGTTCAATGGTGATTGAGTATCTTGTGTAGATAATTGTTTGGAAACACTTGTATCGATTTGATAACGGTTGTAGTAGTTCTCCAGATTTCAGTTTCGTACAGTAGAACAGTCTTGAAGTTTGTATTGATGATTTTGAATTCGCTATTAGTTGATAGTTGTTTTAAGTTACATATGTTATTCGATTGTAAGGATGCGATGCTTGTTTAGTTAATGTTTGCCTTTCGGTGTGCATTGGATCCTCCTTGTTCGTCGATGGTGCTGTCCAGATAAGTGAAATGTTTCAGATATTTCATCAAGTGTGACTGTATTGGTGTTCTGCATGTCGTATTTGTAGATGTCGCCATTCCCATTTGTTTCGTCTAGTCATTCCATGTCGTTTCATGATATCTTCATAACACATGTTGTCCATTTCTACTTCGACGTTCAGTTCTCCCAGAAGAAAGGTCACGTCTTTTCCCAGCCACTTCGCTATGATTGATTGCAACCTCTCATATAATTGATCTTTTTTGTTGTCGTTGCTATCATTGCTGATTGCATAACATTGGATAACATTCATTGCGATTCCCTCCTTCTTTGTTTTAATGATCCTTTTGACGATTCTGAATCCAGGTGATTCCCATCCTATAAATGCATTTTTGCACTAGAGCATTTGCCTGAGTGTGCGGAGCATTTTCTTCTTTTTAACCGTAATACAGAAGCATCTCTTCCGAACCTAACATTTGCCGTTTAGCTTGGTTTTGATTTTCTGCAAACTACTGATACTGCAGTGTATGATATTTTTGTCGCCAAACATAAGTAGTGTGTAACGCCAGTCGTAAGTGGAAATCCTGGCAGCAGAATGCTAAGAAACTCAGGTTGAGGAGAATAAAAGTGAAAATAAAAAGGAATTTCTGATGATTTATTACTGAACTAGTATCTTCTTCTTACAATACATAATTTCAAAATTAAGAGAAACTATGATGCAGTAAATTAGTTTAAATCAAACTAAAAGTCATAAGAATTTTCATAAATCATTTTGAGTAGAGTAATATGTTGTTATTGGTAAGATTAACTTGACATGTAAGCTACAAATTACATTTATCAGGATCATAAGTATTGATACCAACTAGTTCGTTTTCTTGTTTCGTCAAAAACTGTTAAGTAATGTGGGTTTTGTCTAGTGTTAAAGTCCAGTATCCCCGTTTCGTCCCATTTTGGGACTCATCAGTTAATCGCACATTCATTCCAGTGTTTTCTTGATGGAACTCCAAATCAGTACATGTTCCTCAAACTTCGAAGTGTTATCCACTGAGCCACCGATTTCAGATATCCAGCGGACGAAACATGGGTTTCGCAAGCCACTAATAGTCAGTGGTCAACTATTCTTTAACTTGTGACGTGATGATAATACTGCGTAAGCAACTTAGGATGCATATATGGCGAAAATGCTAACCAACTGCAATCTTAAATGTTAACAACAGTGGGGTAAGAATTTTTACAATTTACAATAAATTTTTTGTAGTTTGCATCGCGAAATAGTTTTAGTTAGACAACTACTGAGAACCAGGAGCCACTGTGCTGGTATTTCTCCCTTCTATGGAACCCCTCAAGATTATTTCACATCAATAGCACTACGAATTGATTGAAGTTGTGCATGAAATAATTGTATGTGAACTCAATGTTGTGAACATATAACAGTCACCATGAATGTACATTGTCGTGGAGAAATCTGAGAAACTATTGAATAAACTATAGTTGACCATGCATTATATAAAAAACAGATGATCAATTAAAAGTAGTCCATTGTTATTAGATCTAAATCAAACATTCGGAGATAGGGATTCAATGGCAACATCTTTTATTGATCATTTCATCGAAGTTACGCACAGTTAAGTGAATTCAACAGACCCTTCTAACTTATGTCATATAAAATAACCAAACACATGAAACATCATTACCCTGAAATGTATTTCAAAAAATGTGGTTAGAAATTACAATGCATGTTACGATTATTGGCGGTGGTTTGTTTCATCTTTTTCCATAACCGATGCATTCTTACTTAAAATTAAAGTCTCAACGTATTAAAATAAAGTAATGATATAACTTACAAGCATATTTGGCAGTCTAAGTATTCGTCTAGTTACTCGAAATTCACCTCTAGCTGATAACCATCTCATTGTTATGTTCTGTACAGGTCTTAAGCTTGAATAAAACAGATAATAAATTTGGTTATACATTCTAGCCTTCTAGTCGCATTGTCAATGTAAACTTAACAACACATTATGTTATTTCCCTTAATTAAAAGTTTGCAGAATAATAACATTTACTCTTATGCCTAGTTCATTTGCAAAACTACAAAGTTTCGTTTGATGTATGATTCGCCGTAATACGCTTTTATGTTCTAAACAAAACCTTTAGTACTCTATTTTCCTCAACTAATTCCCAGTTTTGGATATAATTGTATTTTCTCAAATGTTTGCACGTTGTGGTCATGTTACTCATCTATTTATACATGTCGTTTTTTACACTAATATGAATTAGGAATTGGGCATCAGGAATAGTTCGTGTAGTGTTCCAGTTGATTCGTCTTCTTTCTCACGCGCGCACTTGTTAACTAATCAAGTGACAGAATAGTTTTTATCTCTATCTCTCAAGGCCGTTAGTCAATTCGGACTTACACATTTCCAGCCTCAAGACTAAACTAGATAACCTTTCATGTCAATGTCTTAATCTATATCAAGATAAGTTATATTTTGTATATTACTGGGTAGAAAAATCAAGTATGTGACAACCCTATAACTCAATTTGAAATCCGTTAACACCAGTTTTTGATTCATTAAACATTTCGTGCTGCAATGTTGATATGATGATAAAAGTTATGGAAAATTCATTTGAGAAATTCCAGTAGTAAGTAGAAACGAACTTCAAATTTACTCTCACAAAGGAGATTGTTATTCATTGAAAATGCTCAGCCATAAACCCTATTCTATACACTTGATTTTCAGTTGCGTTTAGTCATCTTTCATATAAACTGCCATAGAAATAAATCAATCTAATCAAAATGAGTCAAATCGTCATCAACGTTTTACAAAAGCTGAGGAAATTTAGTCCCAATGAATTATTTAACATTCTGAACTCCACAGATCAAACATTTGTTATTCACAGTGGAAAAAAATAGTTCATTTGACAATGTAGATTTATTGATCATTCATCGGTTATTATAGAAATTCAAACTTTCAAAGTACCTATCTCATCATTTTAAATTATAAAATGCTTAAAACGATTTGTCTACAAAAAAGTGTAATACACCAGACAACTATATGTTATTAATAGGTACTTTTCATCAAGAAACTATACTACTAATAACCATTAATTATTGAATTGAATTATACACACATAGTCTCTTAGAAACATGAACTTTTTCATTGAATTTTTCTTAAATATAGCTAACTTAGTAAATTCTGTGCAAAACACACAAAACAGGAAAATAATAAAATAGCTACTTATCACTTAAATCTGTGTTCGTATGAATTGATCATTTGAGTGAATTAAAGCAACAGATCTAAGCAAGAATAATATACTCCCTAGATTTACGCAACCTCATAGTAAATGCTCTATCGCTATATATATTATTCGTATATTTCAATTATTTTCTTAGATTTGGACCTAACATATTCTGCTTTCTTTCATTCATTTGTTTATGTTACTCATTGTCATGTTGTCATAACCCGACGAGAATAATGAATGGTAACTGTTAAGAGTTGTTTATATTTTATTTATTTTAACACATAGATATTGGTACAGGGAAGCACTAAATACATATGCTCCACACAGATCTCATTTGATATGTAGGAGGGCTGTGATTAAACTATTCATATTCATGTCCCTCTTATTATGAGCTTCATTTTAATCTATGAACTATAATTATACAATATACCATTCTTGAGTTATACCCAGTCTATCAATTACTATCTCCCACATTCACAGCCATTTTGGGCTAAATCTTGTACAAATGCTGTTTCATATTTTATGGTACAATGTGGTCTGTCTGGTTGGCACATTAACCCATTATGTTTGAAATATACGATTCATATCTCAGACGCTGAGATTGGTGTTTTGGCCTTAACGGGCAGCTAAAAGCAGGAAGCATGACCGATAAGGACTCTACACTGCTCGTACATGTTTTACGCATCATTGGTCCGACCGATAATTCACTGTCCGCTAATTGACGGTTTCATCACGTTGTATATTGATATTTGCACAAACCCACAAGGTATAACACATGAATAACACATAAATCTATTATTCACATTTACTATGAATAATGTTTGGACATAAACCTTCTTGAAATTTGACAGATAATATATCAAAAGTTATATTGAAACCTAAACTAACATTATGAACAATAACTTCTTGAAAGCACGTCATCACAGAAAATTCATCTTTTTCATTTCCGATCATTTTTATAAAGTCCATTTTCCACTATGTTCACATTCCAAGATAGTATCAATAGTGTACCAAAACAATGTTGTATGCTTATTCATGGTTATAATAGAAACGAAAAGTTCCCCCCCCCCAAAAAAATCAAAATGATCAAAGAATCGATAAGAAAAACCAAAAGGACTTACTTTCCATCAGGCATCCGATACTGCGGACTTAAATCTGGCAAGTTACTGTAAACAGTCGGAAGGAATCCCTTGCAAAAAAAATCAAGAGATGGTCAAAATAATTCGGTAGCTCGGACTGATAATTTGGGTAGAGTTGTATCCTATGAGCTGGGTAGCTTATTCGTGAAGTTTTTATTTTCCTTCTAGAGACAATATCATTTGTATAAGATTCAGATACAGGTAAGCAATTCAAATTTCTTCATATATGGCTAGAGTTTGTGATAATAATGTGGTCTTCAAAAAGAAAATGAATGCTTTACTATTAAACCGACCAGCTCAGAGAATCCAGCTAGGACAAGAAGTCAGTTAAATAGAGTTTTGTGAACATTCATCTTAATTTTTGTTAACCATTATTTAAGATTACATCCCATATTTGAAAGTGTGTTAGAATATCTGATACTTTTCATACTCATACAACCGACGTCTACAGTATCATTTTAGCAGTATGCGGTTGTAGAAATTGTTGAATGTCAGTTTAACTCATGAACCAACCTAATATGGCGACGCAAATTCATGGATTGATTGAAATTAAACATTAACTACACTGGATCCCGGTTCACTGGTCTAGAGGTTAAGAGTTCGTGTGCGAGACCGAAGGTTCCATTAACACGTGTGAAGTCGTGAATGCACACTACCGAGGAACCCCACATTTACACAAAACGGCCTCTTAGTGATTACGGGTTTTAACGGTGGTTTGAACTAGATCGGTTCCTTGACTTCAATCGAATAGTATCACCTGATCCTGACAACCGTGAAACGTACAATTGGTTAAAATATGATATTGGAAACGTTTTGAATTCATATAGAATAAAGTAAGTATACTGAGGAGGTAAAATAATCCACAATCATAACAGTTGCATACTATACAAAATGCTATTATTTCAATGTGAATTTCTTCACATGTTCAAAGAATGAGCTTACCAATGCATGACATATTTCATGTTTTGTAACATCTTCTAGCTTTTTTTCATTTGCTCTGAGAATATCATCCTCCGCTAAACAGTAATTCACTATACCTAAATTAGGCCTAAATATGAGCGTTAAAATAAATATATTAGCTTTTATTTCAATGTAACATTCATCTTGTATAACATAATATAAAAGGTGTCTCTAATAAATGTTTATGTTAGAACATCATCATTAAAATTTGGAAAATATGTTGCTTAACTAATCAGTAGAATGCATTTGATAACACTTTAAAAGTGTCCATTGATGAAGAATTAAAACTTTATCGAATCACTACTTTGGTGGTGCTACTGGTGTCAACGGATATAAGTAGTATGTATCACCAGTCGAAAATGAAATGACTGGGCTTGGAAGGTTAAGAAGATCGAAGAGAAGAGGTCGAGAACAGATAAGTGAAATATTTCATATCTTCCAGAGCTCGTTCATCAAGTGTGATTGTGTTGGTGTTCTGCGTGTTGTGTTTGTGGATTTCGCATTTTCCACTGTGTATGTTGAGACCCTACTGATGGAGAGGTTAATGGTACACTAGTTGTCTTCATCTGCGTTTGTTGATGTTTATGGTACGGGAGAGTGAGGTCATCTGTGACAACCAAATCTTCTGATTGATTCCGAGCTGTTCTTTGTAGTCCGTGCTTCCCCTCAGCTTTCGAGGTCTTCATAATCCGGTCAACCACCATAATAAAGAGGAACGGTGAGAGTATTCAGCCCAGTCTGACTCCAGTCATCACTTTGAATGTATCTGTCAGCTATGTTCCATGCACCACTTCACACTCTAGTCCGTCTTATGAATTTCGGACGATGTTGATGATTATGTCAGCCGCGCACTGCATAGTATTGAAGGGGGCCCCACAGTGTTCTTCCATCCATATTGTCGTACGCCTTCTCACAGTCAATGAAGTTGATGTATAGTGACGAGTTCCATTCAATTGATTGTTCAACGATGATCCGTTCTCTTGCAATGCGGTCTGTTCACGACCGATGCTCACAGAGTCCAATCCGTTGATGTCGATGTTGAGCGTCTGCTGAATCTTTCATCATGTAAGGCAACATCATGTTGAAAACATTTCATTATACTGACAATATATGATGCTTTTGTCAATCGCACAATTGACCAGATGTTCTTTCTTTGGTATCTTGATGATTTGTCTTTCATTCCGGTCCGTAGGCACTTGTTCTTCATCCCAAATTTTCCTGAATGTTGTGTGTAACATGTTTGTAGTTGCTGCTATATGTGACGTTAGTACTTTAGGTGGTAAACTGTCAGGTTGTGCTGCTTTCCTATTTTTCATTTACTTGATGGTCATCCTAACTTCTTCCTTCGTTGGTGTAGTGACATCTATAGGAAGGTCTGTGAGTGGTGCTTCGATGTTTGATGGTTTCCGTGGGGCTGGTCAACTGAAGTGCTCCTCGATGTACTCTACCCATATGTTCCTCTGTTCTTAAATCTAAGTGGTTAGCTCTCCTTTGTCCTTGACCTATCTCTAGTTCACTATATTCTCCTAACAGTTTCTCCGTCGTGTCATATAGTTATCTAATATTTCCTTCTGTTTCAGCTTTCGCCGCCGTCATTGATACGTCTTCTACGTATTTCAGATTTCCGGCTCTGATGCTCCTCTTTACTTGCTTCTCTACTTCTGAATATTCAGCTTGTGCCTTGACTTTCTGTTCTCGTGTTTGACTGTTCTTAATTGTTGTCTTCTTGTTCTTCCCTTCCTAAATCTCGTTCAGGGTTTCGATGGAGATTCACTCCTTGTGACTATTGGTACTTGTTACAGTTCGGAGCCTCCTGAAACGTTGGAGTTATTGCTTCTTTGATACCTTTCTAGTTGCTTTCCATCGTATTTTCTTCTTCTTTCAATAGGTTCTGTAAGGTTTGCTACCTGTTGTTAAGAGTTATCTTGAATTGATTGGGTTTGTCAGTATCTCGTAGGAAGACTGTTTTGAACATTTGTAATTGTGGGGCCTGTTATCTTGTTGTCATTTAGATCGAACGATGTTTGTTGAAGGGCTCTCCACTTTGGTGGCCCGTGGATCTGACTCCAATTAGATCGTAAGAATGTTTGTTTTCGCCTATCTTCGTATACAATCATCGACTGCAGTCGCATTCGTCATTAGCGGAATTAAATAGTTCAAATAACGAGATTGGATTTTTGAACACATATATTTTGTATATGCAGCGAATGGAATAGAGACAAGCGAAACGACACGCAGTAAAGATGGCAGGTGATCCAAATCCCATTTAACCAAGCGTTAATGAATATTTATAGTCACATGAAAATAAGTTACAGACATGTGACGAGTAATGGGATAAGAAGTGTACACACACCTACGCGCTCATATAAAAACAGTTGAGATTGATAAGCGAATAATTAACAAGGTCAAAATATGACTCAAGTAGAATGAATAGAATGGACTGTCCGAAAACTAGAATAAGGTATATGGGCTTAACATAATAACAGACGCTACACAATGCTGTCCCCCCAGTTGTCCATTGATTATTTCGTTTCAGTTTGATCTGGAAATCACCACGTGGTGGTGTGAAGCTATGTCAATTTCACTTCTAGTTCCCTAATCTTCCATGAACTTTGTGGACTTTTATATCGATACATTGTCCGGATATTCCATGTACCTATACAAACTGTTGCTGTGGTTGTCAGAGTTGTCATCAGCCTCATGAACACAGAAGAATCTCAGCATTCATCATCAGGCATCTAAATTCTCTTGAGTAAAGACCCGTCAACTCCCTGAACGAATAATACATGGTTCGATTTGTTTACTATAGTTGGTGTTTTTTGGCAACGTTTGTTTCTACGGAGTGGGGTGGCGAACCTTTAAATCCAACCCTCCTCCTTTTTGTTGGTTTGAAATCGGCAGTAACTCTAGAAGGGCTACAGGTGGAGTTATCATGTTGCATAATTGTACAATAATTTGAGTTGAAATGTCCACATCTCTTCATGTTTGCCAGCTGATAGGCCAACGAATTACGCATAAAAAAGATTCACAGAATCAAATAACATAGCAAGTGAAACTAATTTACCTCGAAGTATCTGGATCTTGATTACAGTATGAAGCCCAAGCAAGTACATTACCGCCACACGACACATAATTCCTACTCACAAGTAATACAAATTCATTTGGAGCTATTCCTTCTCCTTCAGTAAACATCTCTTTAGTCTCACCATGTTTTCGGGCGTGACATGCCTATACATATTAAAATATGACGAAAAGTGTAATTATTTCATCAAATCAGTATGAAAACTTTGGTTATCAAGTTCAACGAAACGTTTGTAAAACGTAAATGTAAATAGGTAACTACAAATGTCCAAAATTACTCAATAGAAACCATTCATTTGTACGATGCTTTGGTCTGGGACTTGCTTAAAACAAAGACATTTAATTATGGACGAATAGACAATTAGAATTACCTAGAACTAGAAAATGCTAGACATCCGCTCTGTGTCTGCTGTAAAAGCTTCTCAATTTAGCTCTCACTATTACAGACAAGATTGGCTTTCGGACTAAACCATGAGTACATTGTTATCGATAAGACGCTGTGCTACTCACATATTCTAGCGTTAATTATCAAAAAGTGGATTTGTATATATCTTCTGTCCTTGTTTCGCACTCACCTATTTTTTCTCTTCACGGTTATTATTCAGTGAATGGAATGTAGTGGATTATCTTCGAGATAATTCCTAGAGTTTCGTATTATCAATAGTCTCAATAACTATTATCAAATTATTCCCAACTTTGTACACTTTTCATGACACAATACAAAGCCTCAAGCACACAAATCGAATTCGGACAGAAGTGCCAAAGCTGACAAGTGAGCAAATACAGACATGAAGCAAGAATCAAATAAATTGATATGATTCAAGTGTATAAATACATTAAGTGAAATGATTCATTGAGCGATTTGGGCAACTAGCATTAAAACTTGTATGAGGGATACGTATGTTGGTTGTCACATGTAATTGAGCACACGTGATCATGCCGATATGATACGAGGATGTAGACAACGTATTAGTGTTTGAATGAGACTGTCTGTGGAGTAAGTTAACTGAAGCGCTTGACAAAACTAGATGTAAACGTATTTAAATGTAGGTGAGGTGGTATTGGGATACTGAACATTTTCCACAGTGAAATTTGGAACGCAAGCGTTGTATGCATACTTTGAAAGAAAACACATCGGTCAGTGATTTAGAGAACTGGATTGAATTTGAAAAATAAATGTGAAGGGTGTGAAATTGAGCTTCTTTATAATCTTGTCTCTCGGATCCGCAGATTAATTGAAACGTAGCTCTAATAGTCCAAAACTCTGCCTGGAGTCCCTCTGGGGGCTACTGCCGGTCCCAAGCCCGGATAAAGGAGAAGGGTTGGGCATGGGGTTAGCGACCCCATCCCGTAGAAAACTAACTCGCTAAAAAAACGCTAACCAGAAAAAATTACTCAAACCTTTTAAACTATGCCTTGGGAGTCAGAAGGTCTTCATTTAGAAGAACTATGACGCCTCATGATGAAAGCCGAGTTCCTTCGGAAGTCACGAGGCCGATGCCCCTTCTGACAACCAGAGCAACCATTTGTTTAGGTACATGGAATGTTCGTACAATGTGGGACACCGGGAGAGCCTTCCAAATTGCTGCAGAAATGAGGAGATACAACCTAGAGGTGCTTGAGATCAGTGAAACACAGTGGACGCAAGTTGGACAACAACGACTAACTTCAGGAGAGCTTTTGTTATACTTTGGCTATGAAGAAAAAAATGCACCACATACACAAGAGTTGCAATGATACTGTCCAATCGAGCACAAAATACACTTATAGGATGGGAATCTCATGGACCAAGGATCAGCGAAGCTTCCTTTAAAACAAAGAAAGAGGGCATTTCAATGAACATCATCCAATGCTATGCGCCTACTAACGACTACGATGAAGATGCTAAAGACCAATTCTACGATAGGCTGCAGTCAATCATCGAGAAGTGCCCAACAAAGGACCTGACCATTCTGATGAGAGATTTCAATGCCAAGGTTAGAACGGACAACACTGGATATGAAGACATCATGGGACGACACAGACTGGGAGAAATGAACGAAAATGGTGAGAGATTTGCAAACCCATGTTCTTTCAATAAACTGGTCATAGGCAGCACCATATTCCCACATAAACGCATTCACAAAAGCACATGGACTTCACCGGATCACACTAAGCAGAACCAAATCGACCACATCTGCATCAACAAAAAGTTCAAGGGGACGATGGAGGATGTGAGAACCAAGAGAGGAGCTGATATAGCCTCAGATAATCACTTGCTGGTCGCCAAGATGAAATTGAAACACAAGAAGCACTGGACAGTGGGGCGGACAATATCACAAAAGTTCAATACGGCCTTTCTCCAGGATACTGACAAACTCAACAAATTCAAGATAGTCCTCAGCAATAAGTTTCAGGCCTTTCATGATCTACTTAATGAAGAAGGAACTACTGTGGAGAGCAACTGGAAAGTAGAACAAAGAGGTAATCAATTCAACATGTCATGAGGTCCTGGGCCACAAGAAGCACCACCACAAGGAATGGATCACTGTTGATACACTGGATAAGATTCAAGAAAGGCGGAACAAGAAAGCAGCAATCAATACCAGTTGAATAAGAGCAGAAAAAGCCAAGACACAAGCTGAATACACAGAAGTAAACAAACAAGTGAAGAGGAGCATCAGAACCGACAAACGTAAATATGTGGAAGATTTAGCAACGACGGCGGAAAAGGCTGCAAGAGAAGGAAACATGAGAGTACTGTATGACACGACAAAAAAACTCTCTGAAAATCACCGTAAACCGGAGTGACCAGTGAAAAGCAGGAAAGGCGAGGTAATCACCAACATTGAAGAGCAACAAAACAGGTGGGTAGAACACTTCGAAGAACTCTTGAATTGACCAGCCCCACTGAATCCACCCAATATCGAAGCAGCACCCACGGACCTCCCAATCGATGTTGGCCCACCAACAATTGAAGAAATCAGCATGGCCATCAGACAAATCAAGAGTGGCAAAGCAGCAGGACCAGACAACATTCCAGCAGAGACATTGAAAGCAGACGTAGCGGCAACTGCAAGGTTACTCCACATTCTCTTCAGAAAGATTTGAGATGAGGAACAAGTAACAAAAGACTGGAAAGAAGGAATTCTGATCGAAATACTGAAGAAAGGCGATCTCAGCAAGTGTGATAACTACAGGGGCATCACTCTTCTCTCAACACCGGGAAAAGTCTTCAACAGGGTATTGTTAAACAGGATGAAGGACTCTGTAGACGCCCAACTTCGTGACCAACAGGCAGGATTCCGTGAGGATAGATCGTGTACAGACCAAATCGCAACTCTACGGATCATTGTGGAACAATCAACTGGATGGAATTCATCACTCTACATCAACTTCATTGACTACGAAAAGGCATTTGACAGCGTGGACAGAACAACACTATGGAAACTTCTTCGACACTACGGCGTGCCTCAGAAGATAGTCAATATCATACAGAACTCATATGATGGATTACACTGCAAAATTGTGCATGGAGGACAGTTGACAAAGTCGTTCGAAGTGAAGACCGGTGTCAGGCAAGGTTGCTTACTCTCACCCCTTCTCTTTCTCCTGGTGATCGACTGGATCATGAAGACGTCAACATCTGAAGGGAAGCACGGAATACAGTGGACAGCTAGGATCCAGCCGGATGATCTACCCTTTGTAGATGATCTGTCTCTTCTATCGCACACGCAACAACAAATACAGGAAGAGAGAACCAGTGTAGCAGCAGTAGGTCTCAACATACACAAGCGGAAAACCAAGATTCTTCAATACAACACAGCATGCAACAATCAAATCACAATTGACGGAGAAGATTTGGAAGATGTACAAGCCTTTACATATCTGGGCAGGATCGTTGGTGAACACGGTGTATCTGATGCAGATGTGAAGGAGCGGATCGGTAAAGCAAGAGCAGCATATTTAAAACTGAGGAACATCTGGAACTCAAAACAACTGTCAACCAACACCAAGGTCAGGATTTTCAATACAAATGTCAAGACAGTTCTACTGTATGGGGCAGAAAACTAGAGAACTATTAAAGCCATCATCCAGAAAATACAGGTGTTTAATAACAGTTGTCTACGCAAAATACTTCAGATCCATTGGCCGGACACTATTAGCAACAAAATACTGTGGGAGAGAACAAACCAGATCCCAGCGGAGGAGGAAATCAAGAAGAAGCGCTGGAAGTGGATAGGACACACATTGAGGAAAGCACCCAACTACGTCACAAGACAAGCCCTCACATGGAATCCTGAAGGTCAAAGGAGGAGATGAAGACCAAAGAACACATTACACCGGGAAATGGAGATAGACATGAGAAAAATGAACAAGAATTGGATGGAACTAGAAGAGAAGGCCCAGGACAGAGTAGGTTGGAGAATGCTGGTCGTTGGCCTATGCTCCATTAGGAGTAACAGGCGTAAGTAAGTAGGTAAGTCTAGTCGTTCAATGGTGAGCCTATTTTCAGATGAATCAAAATTTTCAACATCAAAGGAGCAGTATTTTAAAAATCTTTTTAACACACGTTTACGTAGAACAGCGAAGCGGATATTATTTTGCTGAAGATGTTTTTGGGGTAGATATTTGCAACTGAAGGAGAGTTAGACAGACAATTATCAGTTTAAGGAAATCAGCAATTTTTATTATATGGAATCGTCATCTCAGAGAACCATTTCAAATACGTATATCATAGGAGAGGGTATCATCAGTGGTCGATGAGATCTACAAATATCCTGTATAAAATAAATCAGACAAGTTACTGGCTGGGGATGTCAGTCCTTCACCCATGTTTGTATGGTAGATGGATAGCCAATGACTCGTGACCATGAAATACTACGTGTCTTCGATGAGCGAAGCCCATAGTTCTATCTTTGACGGAAGATCGAATAAGGAGCATTCGCCATCTGCTTTTGTCAGAGGTAACAATCTTTGTCTTAAGCGATTTCGTTTAATCGCATGGAAAACGAATCGTTTCACGGGATATCTGCAGTATGAATCACATTGTGTTTAAGTAGTTCAAACCTACAGTTTCAGTTAATCGTCTTCACAATGTTGACATATTAGATAGTTTCAAAATTTTCGTAGCATACATTATTGATCTGAGAGGCAAAGCATAGTTGCAATCAGCTGCAGTGTTATTTCTTCTGTACGCTGGGTCACACAAATATAGCTTACCGGTTTTATCAAGTCATACACTTCTTAAGAGCATTATACACCATTAAATAAATAACTTGTGAGTAATTAATACGTCATTATTTCGTTCATAAGTAAGAATTCTACCACGAATTCACAATAAACAACTATTTGTATTATTACACTTATTAATTTCATACTATTGCAGATAAATTTTCCAGTAAGATTAGCTAATATTTTCGGATTTTGACCACCACGGTAGAGCAACTCTGTCAACGGAAATGTTGTAAGCAACAAAATTTTGAATTTTTACTACCATTAGAATTTGCAATATTTGATAGGTTGTGTTTGTTTTCCTACGTAAACTACTTGATCAATGAGAATTGCTTTATCTTGGTGGTTGAAATTCGATAAAATTAATTAAGCTCAATGGAAACCTTGAAGGTGTAGCAAGCTGGGGTAAAGATCATCTCTGGCTATAACCACGTTCAAAAGTGAATTTTAACAGCTGTTACAGTGAATAATAGGGCTTCTTGATTAGAAGAAGACAATAATTGTAGAACTTTTTGGCTTTTACATCCATTCTTAAACAGTAAAATGCAACTATGCAATTTTAAACTGAATAATATTAATGGTTGACATGTATGGAAAGTGCTAAGGAAAATGTTAGAAAAACTTTACACTAATAAGAGGAAGTTGTGAATTGTGGCTTCGAACCACAGTCGTTTTAATGTTTCCCAGCTGGATCGCAGTTCAGTCGGTGAGACTATAATTTATGTATGAGACAATCAGAAGCTAGTGAGTGAGCGAACCTATTTCAATGCCCAATGCTCGCGTACGATCAGTCAACAGTAGATTTTAAAAAGGATGCCATAGTTGGTCGGCGACGACAGATGTGATTATTCTGCTCTTTTTTTGTAATTGCGGTGATCAAATGACCGCAAAAAGTTGTTCAGACTATCGTCACAGTGTTGTATTTTGATGTAATATATGCTGAAGGTAAATGTTTGCTACGATACTTTTTTTGTCCCAACCCAGGTTGATACTAAGAAAAATTATGATAATTTTTGCAAAATGGATAATAAAAGCGCCAGTAATACTGACTTCAAACTTTGCAGGTGTTATTGAAACCTCGGCAGTTCAATGGTATGAGTACTGTCGAGATATACGTGCAATGAAAATAACAAGCATGAATCAGTCGTTTGGAGGAATCGGGAATATCGTGGAAATTAATGAAATACTCGTAGTAAAACGCGAATTCAATATAAGAAGTGTTAAAGAAGACTACGTAAGTAACAGGTCCTTAAGTATACTTATCAGATCCCTGGTATATATGATAGATAATCTCAAAAGAGACACTTCCAGCACATGAGAAACCGATAGGCTACAACAACTGTGTGAATTTAGACACCACAGTACACACAGGCGACTGAAGAGCAAATCCATACCTATCTAGACTTAGTTACCGACATCGTAGAGGCTCTTTCTAACCCTGAAATGCTTTTAAACTGTTTCAAAGAAGTGTATCTACTGGTATAATGTATTCTTATTTCATACTGAATGTTTTCTGATCACCTGAAATTTCCCAAGGTCGCTTAAGATTCGTTCGAAGGTCATCAAAATAAATCATAGTCTCACCGTTCAACCAATGATCACAATAAAATAGTTTGTGTAACTAAATATAATAAGAAAGAAGTACAGATCGACTGTGTAACGACAAGTGTGCTGATAGTTGTAAGGGCAATAAAGGCTTGAATAAAGTTTTCAAAATAGGATAATATATAGAAAAAGTGATGATTAATTCAGAAATATCACATCATATGGAAAATCACATCTCTACTTTCATTCACTTACTGATAAATATTTATCAGGAATTTCCGTATGAAAACATGTTTCACTTTTTTTACAAGTGTCTCTTCTACAGTGTGGTTTGTTTTCATTTGAACTGGTAACCATTGAACCTAATTTACATGTTCTAAAAGACAAATGAATCAATTTTAATAAAATCAATCTATTTGAATTATCTAGGGATTTGAAAAGTAGTTTCTCACCTTTCTTGATAAATAAGAAGGGTTTGAAAAATAAAACAGTGTAGGTGTTTGGGAATAACATTTATGATTTTTATATGATGAAAATATTTTTTGACTTTACAAACTATCCGACTGACGAGTCACAAATAGGACGAAACGCACGTTCTGGATTCCACTGCTAGCCACTATCCATCTCTGCTTAGAATGTTTGTGACTTTAAGCAAAATCTAAGCAATACGCACAATATACACATATGCTTATAAGAGACTAATCAATTGAAGTCCTAAACACCAATTGGAAGATTCAATGAAACAAAACCAAGTGAATTGATATAAATCATGATTCAGTATTCCTAATCGATTTTTAATAATTTGCTATCAGTATTAAAGTCTAGTTAAAAGTAATGTCAACTCTACCTACTTGCTTAAGTATAGAAACAGGTAAACACCAGATTACATTACTCACTTACTTACTTACGCCTGTTACTGACAATGGGGCATAGGCCGCCGACCAGCTTAAAAGGTTCAGATAATTTTTTCTGGTTAGCGCTTTTTTAGCGAGTCAGTTTTCTACGGGATGGGGTCGCTAACCCAATGCCCAACCCTCCTCCTTTATCCGGGCAGTGGCCCCCGGAGGGACTCTAGGCGAGTTAGATTATGTTAATATAATAAGCAAAATCGATCTTCAGTGGTGAAGCGAATTCTTAAGCACGATGATATTTAGGAAAACAAGTGCTGAACATAAGACACTGAACACTGAACAGTACACTTATTATATGTTAATCAATAAATGTCTAAACTGCACTATATCAGCTCACTTATTACAGTATACTATTTTGAAGTTGAGTTGATTATTCATACGCGCTCAGTTGAAAAAGCACCTATCACTGAGCAAATGCAAATAGATCGTTTTAAGGACATGAAAATAAAGCAATATCTATTCCTCACCGATATACAATCGGAAGTATAAGCCGTGTATTCAACTTCGACAATTCTAACAAGATTATTCATATTACAGATAAAAGCCATGTTCACATTAGTTTCAATTTGTCTCAAATAATACCAGTAGTGTTGTAGTTGCTTAACGACTAGAAATTAGCAGCAAATCATTCGATCTACCCAACTGTAAGGTAACTAAGACTGAATAAAGATAACGTCATTTAAAAGTTAAATGATTTTCTTTTTAGCTTATCACTATATATGAAATATTATTTACCTCTGAATAACTACATTCTCAGGTTTTTTCACCTCAACAATTAGAGCTTTCTCCCAAAATTTGACAGCACCCTCAACTGCTCTCTATTAAAAAAAATTCAAAAATATCACTTAGTTAGTTCCGAAATATTGATGTAGAATCGATACATTCTAAAACGTTTTACCTTTAGATCAGTGAGGCAGTCGGCACCCAATGGAGTTAATGTTTAACTTCAACTAATCCACGAAATTCAGCGACACTTGCACCACTGTCTTCAGTGAATTATCATATCACAACAGACCCGGTTGAACTCCGGTGGTCACTGATTCTCACAAGAAGAATCTCCTGGAGTTCTAGTGAGAAGCATTGACCAGTGGCGTTTAGCCGAGTCTGTTGTGAGATAGTAACTCACTGAATACAGTGGTGCATGTGTCGCTCAGTTTTGTGGATTAGTTAGAGTAAGACATTAACTCCATTAGATGCCGACCGACTCAGTGGATAGGGGTTAAGCGTCTGTGTGCGAGATTTTGCGAGGTGGGATTACGAATGCGCACTTCTGGGAAGTTCCACGATATAATGAGTTGGCCATCCAGTGCTTCCGGGTTTTTCATGATATTCTAGCTTCAATTGACTTATGATCTCAACTATCAGATTACTATAATATTCACTAAACCGCCTCTGATAATATTAATGTGGTATCAAGTGTCAAAATATTTTATAAGAAGTTATTGAACAAACGTTACAAAGCGTTGTTTATTTCATATTAAAGTTTGAATAGTCACAATAAGATGAGAACTATTATTCCAAATATAAAATTTATCTTTTTACAAACTGAATCAACTGTAAACTATTTAGAGTAGTTATTGTACAACTGTATTTAGTCAATTACCACATATGTTCAGAATAGTCAGTAATGAAAGAATATGTAAATGAGTTAGCATGATAACTAGACACTACTTTTCAAAATGTGAACGATAATGTCATTTGTCTTATCATGTAAACTGAAGGACAAGCAAAATAGTGTTTCTGACAGTTTATAATTGCATTTAGTAAAACTTGACGGATATTTGTGATATCACTGCGTACTGATCAATCAATTGTAAATACATCTCAGTCCTACAGAAAATCAGTCGCGTCCCGTTGGTAATGTCTCTGACTGTGAAGCTGAGTGACACGGGATCGAATCCGTAAGAGAGCATCAGTTCCTTCAAGATTACAAGTACACCATGCTGATGAGTGCCAATTAGCACGAAACCTAGGTTCAGTATTTCCTGTTGACTACCTACAACCACCATCTTATTTGTAATATCGTCTGATTTTTTGATCTATTTACAAATAACATAACCTAACAAAATACTATAATATCTCTTAGTTTTGTGCATAAAGATAGATAGTGTTTAATGAACTTTCATACACTCAATCACCTGTACAATAACTAATGCATAGATTATATATTCTTCACTATATCTTACAATCACTAAACTAGTATTGTTTTCATGCTTTAAGAACTACTATCACGATTCTTTGTTTCTCCTCACACTTTCTTATTTATAATATTTAAGATAATTAAGTGATCTATCAATGAGACATGTTTATGAAGATTAGTATGGAATGTACACCTTCTTATGGCTTCAGTGAACTTTGTTATAGAACATAGTTGTTATCACTCAAGCATACTGAAACTCACTTTGATTTTTGAAAACACTTTACTCGTTTCAACCTTTCTATCATAAACTGGTGTGATTTTCAAATTAAGACGATTCGATGACCGTTTAACAATATTTTGTGAATAGATACTATCACTCTGAAACAATACATGTATATATATATATATATGTATATTATTCATTATTCATAAATGATAACTTGCCAGTTTCTCATTTTCAACAATAGGACAAACATATTCAGATTTTAATAATTTAAACAGTACTAGACATATAGAAATGATAGCATAAATGTTCATGATGAAATTTCTGAAGATGAAATATCTTATCCACCTTCATATAGTTTATATAATATTGAAAGAATGTGAAAATCTCAAAAATCTCTTCCATTAAAGTACAGTATTTCGATATTTTTCCATGACCTCATTTTATAATAGAAGCAAAGTAAACTCACATAGAGTATATATGCATGTGAACAACATAAGTTCACAACAAATATATTCAAAATACAATTTTACATCATGCTAATCTCATGTTTAGGTTGTTTGTATTTATTATTCTCACGTAACTCCACTTTTGTAAAGCTACACTATTTCATGGATCATATTCATCATATTCATCTTCATGTTAAACTACCAATGTTTGTTATAATTTCAAACTAGAATCTTATGTTAGTTATTCAGAGAATCTACTTAACACAAGCATTATTCAGTGTGGAGATTTTGATGTTGTTATCATCACTGTCAGTTTCACATTCAGAGTTATTTAATTTTGGTGTGTCATTATATTCTTTCTTCCGGTGGCACAAGCATAGAAACCTCTCACTGGTGAAAAAATTATCTGTCAACAATTATTGATATTACCATGAAGCCATATTACAAGTATTGTGATTTGAAAACCGGTTAATGTTTGCATGCTAAGAATGCTGAAGGCAGTTAGCAGGGTGTGTGTTGAAACGTCTGACATCATTATGAGTATAGTTGTTGATAATTATCTAAAGTCGTACAAACTCTTGGTAGTTGTTATCTTATCAAGTACTAACCATGAACTTTATTTGTACCTTTCTTTTTGCATATTATGTGGTAGAATGAGGCGCTAATACATTAGAATCCATTCATGCACAAAAAAATATAGATGCTTTAGAATATATTATCTAGCAAATACACTATGTGACAAACAGGTTGTAAAAGTGGACCTAGTCAATAACTGGTATTCTTGAAGATATTGCTAATTAGAAGCTATACAGATTCCTATTTTATTAAAAAACAACTCGTTTAATTACAAGTAGCTTATTTACTTATATTCATGTATATATGTATTCAGGTATGGTTTGTTTTTGTTTTGTAAAAGAAACTTGTTAATATAGTTTGTGCTGTGAATCCTAAATTATACAAAACATATAACATTCAATAAAACCAATAACGATAATAATGGTAAAACTACTACTAACAATGGACGATCAATAACAGGTTACTTAAATAAGTGTCATCAACACAAGTGGGTCATTCCATCATCGCGTTAATAGAATGTTTAAGCTTCATGTTTTTGTGATAACCCATAAAGACGTCTGCTTTAATTGAACTCAGTAAACGTTTCATTGCTACATCATCCGTTTGACTATATATGATATTGTTGAACTGAAATTAAATATATTTTGTTGGCATAAATAGGAATCTCTTGAATTCTGTTACTGTTAACGGCAAAAGAATAGGATTCTGATAAATAGCGTCATTACTTTCAAATGCAGTATATTTTGATGTGGACGTCCATTTAAAAAAAGCAATGAACCTACCAAATACATCCATATAATTTTTTCTGTCAGTACAGTTCCACTTCATAGACATCTGAAAACATCCCTCACGAATCTTTTACTCATAACTGGGTAAAGCTAATCGAAAGAGATCGAGATTGATAATATTGCAAACAATATTTAAACTTAGGTTCTTTTACCCAGATTTACCGATCCGCTTTATTCTCAACCGTTTATTATGTAGATTCTCAGAAGCGTAAAGTTTACGTCGCATAGTATTGTAACCTTCTGTGAAAACCGGATGCGCTTCCTCGAAAAGAGTAATATCAGTTCTTGATGCACTCTTAAAACTATAAGTGCAGGCTGAAATTCTAGTTGACCAAGTTTTGTCCAAGTCACTCTAGAAATCATCATTATGTTATATTTTGTATCCACCTGAATTTGAATCAACTTACGGTAAAACTAGACGGCCATGCTGTTCTTCTCTGACGAAACTTAGGTGTCTTGGATGGCTAAAACAGCGTTAGAGTTATCTAGTGTCATTTTTAACATCTGCTTCGAGTTTCCCTTGTAGAACCTTTGCCAACCATCTACAGTCCTTGAACTGCTTTCACAACTTACTTGAGTATGATCCTATATACCGTAACGAAACGTCCTTTTTATCATGAAAAAAGATTAGTCGAATGCAATTCATCGCATCACTAGCAAATCATCTCGAGTTTCAGTCGGCTCGTTAGTCGCTATTAGGATACATCCATATTTCGATTGAAAGAGTTTATTAGAACACTGAATTCTGGGTGTAAACTATCACTTTCTACCAGATGTGCATCACGCTTCAAGTTCATCATTCTTCGATATTTTTCCAACAAGCATTATAGACCGATATTGAGATTTACTTCGATCCTTGTAAAGATTTTTTATTATGGCTGCATTTACTTCAGATCGACAACCGTACATAAATCTAAAGCATTTGAAAATGTCTACGGATGTCTCCGGTAGACTGAACCTCTAACATTTGTCTGCCAAATCGCTGGCCTTTTTACAAGTTGAAAGCACTGAAATGTAGTATGGAAATCACTCTTCTAATACACATGTCAGACACATTAAAGTTTGAATTAGGTGAATTTATCTGCATGAAATGAAATTACAAAACTTCTCATGTTAAAAAAACCGAGTTTTGTATCAATAACCTCAGTTTGAATCTTTCGTCACACTCTTTACAATCATTAGTAAACAGATGCTTATTATACCTAAGGCATACTGAAAAGATAATTCCACTTTCTGAATCAGATATAAATTCAGTCAATATCCAATATTATTCAAAGTCATGGTACGATTAGATAGATGAGTTGTTGAAAGCAATAATTTAATAAGTTCAACAGTTGAGATCATGAGTCAATTGAAGCTAGACCATCATGTAAAACCTTGAAGCACTGGACGGCCGTTTCCTTCTATTGTGGGACTCCTCAGCAGTCCTCATCCTCGAGAAGCAGTGAACAGTTGAGTTCAACCGGGTCAGTTGTGAGGTAGTAACTGTTGAGGAGTCTCACAACTGAACGAAACGGTCGTCCAGTGCTTCCAGTTTTTCCATGGTGGTTTAGCTTCAATTGACTCATGATCTCTACCGTTGAAATTATTACAATCTCCACAAAACTCCTTCTGATACTAATTTACTAAGTACTTTTTGAATAGCAGTTTAAGATCATTGATATTGTTGATAAAATGTGCCATGTTAACAAGGCATAAAAGCATAAATTCATTCTAAATATTTCACCGACACTTGAATGATATTTGATTCCTTCCAAAAAAACTGAGATAAACAATGAATAATTTGTTGCGTATACGATTTATTTACTCTATACTAGATACTCAACTAACGCCACACACAACCTAAACCAGGAATGTTTACCTTCACTGACAGGCACATGCATTAATTAATAATCAAGTAAACACAAACCTTAGGAAACTACGTATGACACATCAGATATTAGTTATAATATCTATCAATCAATCTGAAACCAGTAACTAACTAGTGTCTACTTTCTCCAACCGAACTGTTTTCTATAGCGATCTGCAAAACATTCTCGAAGATCGTGCAAGAAGTTGATGATTTTTATACAACGCACAATATTTTATTAACTGACATTATCAAAAACACTAGTCTCAGTTCTCAATCGTGTGATAAGTAATGCGATCAACATGATGTGAAATTGTATTTTGAATATACTTGTTGTGAACTTATGTTGTTCACATGCATATATACTCTATGTGAGTTTACTTTGCTTCTATTATAAAATGAGGTCATGGAAAAATATCGAAATACTGTACTTTCATGAAAGAGATTTTTGAGATTTTCACATTCTTTTAATATTATATAAACTATATGAAGGTGGATAAGATATTCCATCTTCAGAAATTTCATCATGAACATTTATGCTATCATTTCTATATGTCTAGTACTGTTTAAATTATTAAAATCTGAACAACGCATCAGTGTTAACGGGTTCCGGTTTTATTTGCAGTCGGTTAAGTGCTTGGGGTTCGTTTTCGATCCCGACGGCCGCAGACCGGATTTTGAGAATATCTAACTTATTAAACTGGTGCCCACTCCCATCAATGTCTCGGCACTAAGTTCTTTCCTGGGACTTGTCATCTATTACTCAGCGTTCGTTCCATCGATGTATGATATTCGCGCTCCACTCAATAGCTTACTGAAGAAGAACAGCTCTTGGAACTGGACTAAACAGTGTGACGCTGCATTTTGTAAAGTGAAGTCGATCATTAGTTCGGAATTGCTGTTGACACTATAGCGGCTCACGTGCAAATGGGTTTATTCTCATTTAACCCAGTTAAGCCCTTTTTGTTAACTTATTTAGCGGACAAAGTCATCTGCACTATAACAATTTATTGTATCCTTATTATTATTTTCAGCCTGTATGAAATACGTATGCTTGAATATTGATTACTGCCTACGCATTTATTCACCCTGCTAGTCTTACTACTAACCGCTTATTCGATTCGATTACTCATTCATTTCACATGGTATATATATGTCCATGTTATTCATATTGAACTCTCAATCACTCACTCGCTCACACGGTCTCGTCACGCTCTTGCTCTGGCTCTCGCTCGCTTGCTTGCCTTTCGGCACAACTCTTCTATGCTTGTTTAACACATCTGTACATTTGGATATATGTGTGTGGTCTCGCAATAAACGTAATCAACACTTCGTATTTGCCTTCTGATTAATATACCGTTGGTACGTTATATAGAACGGTTATCACGACGAACTGTATACGAAGTTTAAGGATTATATCGAATGCCGACCACCACATAATTGGCGATCCTGACGCGCGAACACGAAACAATCTTCGACGACATAATCCAATT